GCCCGATGTGGGACTCGATCCCGGGACTCCAGGATCATGACCTGAGCCGAAGGCAGTCGCTTAACCAACTGAGCCACCCAGGCGCCCCAAAACAGAGAGATTTCTGCGCCTCATCTTGGACCTACAGAATCTGGGGGCAGGGGGAGTAGGACTCAGGGCTCTGTAGGTTTAAAAGCACCCCCAGATAATGCTGCGGGCCAAGCCAAGCTGGAGAACCACAATAAGCAAATTGGAATCATAAAGGGTCGCTGCTCTGGGAAGGGAGTAGGAAGGTGTGAGTTCCCCCAGGCCCTGATTTCCCCTTGCTGACACCCAGTACACTTGCTGCCCTCTGAGCTGGAATGGGAGGGGGTCACTGGTGTCCCCCTCCCGTGGTGTTTGCAAGCCTACTGGACCAAGCACACAGAGGCCATCTAAGGATCACTGGCTGAATGAAAGAGCACAGGATGGCGTGGGTGAATGATTGAATATTTGCTGGGCACGGGCATTCAGGAGAGGTTGGGAGAGGGTGAAGGAGGACTTCCCACTCTCTGAGGAGGGAGGACCTTGAGCCCAGGCCTGCCCTCCCCAACAAGGAGCCAGATGGGGAGGGGTGGAGGGATTCTGAAATGGAAAACCCAGCAGGTCCAGATGCTCGTGGGCTTGTCAGTGATACTTAGGGCAAAGCTGTCCCCACTCTGAGGTTCATGGCTCTTCCTGCTAAAGGGCACAGGGTCCCAGGTTCCCTGCATGGGAAGGTGGGAGGCCAATGAGGCGATGGAAAGAGTTTGGGGTTCCGAGCCACCTTGGTTGATGTGCTTTGTGAAGTGGGCGTGTCAGAGAGAGAGGGCGTGCCTCTCTCCAGGCTGTGTCCTAATCTAACCTTGTCACTGCTGCCTGATTTCAGTTCTCATTCCCCCTCCCGTGTAACAGAAGGGGAGGGCTTTCAGAGGGTTCCAGCTATGATCATGTAACAAGGACACTGTAAGCGGAGGGTCCGTCCTATGGATGGGGCTTTTCTAAAGAGATCCGGGGCCTGGCCAGAGAAAAAGGTAGTTCTGCCAGGGATGCTCAAAGTGTCAGAGATGGGACAGGGAAAATAGGCAGAGGTGCTGGGTGGGATGCATCTGGTGTTGGGTGGGTGATTTCTGAGCTGGACAGGGAGGGAGACATGATCAGAGCTCCGTGTCTGTTTGTAGCACATACGCCACGGTCACGACTCACCCAGGATCTCACAGCACCCCCTCCACCTCTGCTAGTCACCTTTAGCCTTACTGTTGGTAACTAAACATGGCGGAGCGCCCCAGCACACAGCCTGGCACAGAACCAGGGCTTAATGTTTGCTGAATGAATGAATGAATGAAGAATGAAGGGTGTAGAAAAAGAGAACGATTACTGGGGAATTCTGGCCTGGATGTGAAGAAGACAAAGCTCTAAGGAAGTCCCCTGCTTGGCTCAGACAGGGTGGGCAAGGGTCCTGTCTGGGGTCTGATGCTACCCCATCTTGCACCCCCCCCCTTATCACATCCTCCTGGATGGTCTGATCATGAGAAAGATCATGGCAGTTGAGGAAGGGAGAAGTCACAGCCTTGCAGATCCTCAGCTTTGGGGACTCCTGCCTTCCCCTCCACCCACCTTTGGGCTGTTTGCACAGAGACCTCAGCTGAGAGAGCCCCTCCTTTTCTCACCACCCTCTCTGCCATGGGTGTGGCATCCAGGCATTGCTGGGGCTGGAGGGGGAAGCAGTGATCTCCAAAGCAGAGGAGCAGGGCAAAGGGGCGGGAGGCAGGGTGGGAGGGAGCTGACATTTATTGAGCAACTGCTATATGCCAGACCCATTGCTTATCTGACCTCATTTATGATCACAACCTCTGTGGAGTGCGCATTATCCCAATTTCATTCCCCCCCCTTTTTTTGGTCAAATGTAGTGGGTTTTTTTTTTTTCATTTAAATTCAGTTAGTTAACATACAGTGTATTATCGGTTTCAGAGGTAGAGGTCAGTGATTCATCAGTCTCACATAACGCCCGGTGCTCATTACATCACGTGCCCTCCTTAATGCCCATCACTCCATTGCCCCCCCCCCCGCCCAGCAACCCTCAGTTTGTTTCCTATGACTGAGTCTCTTATGGTTGTTTGTTTTGTCTCCCTCTCTGGTTTCGTCTTATTTTATTTTCCCCTCCTTTCCCCTATGATATTCTGTTTTGTTTCTTAAATTCCACATATGAGTGAGATCATATGATAATTGTCTTTCTCTGATTGACTTATTCCGCTTAGCGTAATACTCTCTAGTTCCATCCACGTCGTTGCAAACCCATTTCATTTCCTAATAGAGAGACTGCTACACTCTGTGAAAACAAGGACCACATCTGTCTTGTTCGATACGTGATCCACAGATTCACAGCCTCTACCACGGTGGCCAGGACAGTAGACATTCCAGGACTTCTTCTAGAAAGAAAGAAAGATAGATAGATAGCTAGAAAAGGCAAGGCCAGGCCCTCAAGGGGTTCAGTGAAGTCTCTAGTGGAAGGATGTGGGAAAACAAGTAGAAAGGAGGGTGATGATGCCTGCTCGGCAGGTGGACAGGAAGGTTTTCTGGAAGGCTGGTTGAGCTCAGTCCTGGAGGAAGGACAGGTATTTGTCATGTGAATAGAGGGAGTGACAGGGACCCCAGTCAGAGGGATAGACAGCGGTGTGAGAAGTGTCGAGCACTTAGGGAACTGCCGGGGGCATCAGCATGGCAAGCGCCCAGGGCAGGGATCCCAGGGCGCTGCTAGAAGTGAGGTCAGAGAAGAAGGGAGGAGCCAGACCACAAGGGTGGGGCAGCATTGCCACGTGCCAAACCAAGAATTGGAACTGTCCTCTGAGGACTGTGGGGGCTACTGTAGGCTGCTGCATGTTTGAAGCAGAGAGATAGGATCAGCTTTAAGTTTCGGGAAGATCACTCTAGCAGCTGTAGGAAGGATAGATGGGCAATGCGGGCAGGAGAAAACAGGCCAGTGGCTGGGGAAGCCCCAGGCAGGATAGGGCTGTGCCCCTGGAGCTGAGGCAGCAGACTCAGATGTTGAAGAATACTCAGCAGGACTCCCTGCAAGTCTGGATGGCACCTGCAGGTGTTGGAGGTGTCAGATCTCTGGGGCTTCCGATCTGGATGGGCTGTGTTTAGGAAGACAAGGTCCAGCATGTTCAGAAAGGCCGACAAAGCACTGGACGCCGTCAGCACCATCCCCACGTGAAACAAAGCGGTGTCAGCCCCGATGAGGCCTGGTGCCCTGGGGGTGCTGGGAGTTGTGCGTGTGCGTGTGTGTGCTGACTAGGGCAGAGCTGGAGGAGATGCAAGCGCTGAGGTCCTGACAGGGTGATCAGGCTTTTCTAGTCTGGAAGGAAGGAGGCTAAGGGGAGACGTGGCAGGAGTCCAGAAAGCTGAGAACAGGCCATCCCATTGCCAAGGGCTCAGCCCAAAGCTTCAAAAGGGGAAAACTTAATCAAGTGGACAGAAACTGCCCTTCATAAGCTGGCTGAGGATTCCCGGATGAGGTGTGCACTCAACACACACCCAGAGAGGGCTGGACAATTCCTGACCGACAGGCTGGGAAGGGGCAGGAGGGAAGGGGGGGCCGGAGCTCCAGGGGCGCCCAGCCTGCACTTGGGGGTGTGGAGAACAGGCGAACTTGGACCTGGTCCTGCATAGGCTCTGATGGCCCTGGCGGCCAGCTCCCTGGCTGCAGAGAAACCGTGTCCTGACCTGGACGCTTGCCGCTCCTCTTTGGACCTGGTTTCCTCCTCTGTCAAAGGGAGAGTTGATCTACATGGTGGCTCTGACGCCTTGCAGCTGTCATTGTCTTCTATTGACTGAACTAGAGCTGGCTCTGGGGAGGAGAGGGAGGGAGATGGGAGGGAGATGGGAGACGGGAGACAGAGAAACCTCAGGGGAACTGGAGCGTGCACACACTCCTTCCTCAGAGATTTCCTGAGCACTCACTACATGCCAGGGACCCTTCTAGGCCTTGGGGGATAGAGCAATGGACAAAACAGACCCAGTGCCCATCCTCACGGAACACACACTCTGGTGCATGCGCCTAGGCACGTGGGCCTCCCGGCTTGTGGGTGCAGTCCCCGAGCCGCTGGGCCCTGCAGGGCGGGTGACATCAGCGAGTCCCTGTGTGTGCCCCTTGCAGGTGTTCTCCGTGGCGCCCCCGTTTGAGGTCAATGGTCTCCCGCGAGCTGTGCCTCTGAGCCTGCCCTACCAGGACTTCAAGAAAGATCTCTCTGATTACCGAGAACGGGCTCGGTTGCTCAACAGGGTCCGGAGGGTGGGCTTCTCCCACATGCTGCTCACCACCCCCCAGGTCCCACTGGCAACAGTTCAGCCCCAAGCTAATGGGAAGGAGGAAGAGGAAGAGGAGGAAGAAGAGGAGGAAGAGGAGGAAGAGGAGGAAGAGGAGGAGGAGGAAGTCGAGGAGGAGGAGGAGGAA